TGGGCAGCGGTGACAGAGAAACTGTTCACCATCATGAGCTGTAGAATCCTCCCATCTCCATCAGTCTGCCTGCTCTGTAATATCACAGAAACCAATTAAATATAAAAACCCACTTCTTTTTTATCTATCTTCTAACTATCGCCAAGAAAACAATCTAAACTGGAAATCTAAAAACTCATTACACATCAACCACTGGACCAACTTTCTCATAGAATACTGTACATCACACTAGAGAAAATATCATCCATCCAAAAGAATAATATATCAACTTTTACTGACACTTGGAATCCGTTTCTAACCACTTTTAACCAGACACCTGGGGCCGAGCCTACGCACATTCCAACAAACTCCTAGAAATATAACAAGCAGCTTTTATTTCATTATTGATACTGTTATTAGTCTTTGTTTTCCATGCTACTGTTTTGAGTATGTCACACCTTTCAATCAAACCAGATTAAATGAGAATATAATCTATCCCCTCCCTTTTCTCTTTCTTTTTTCCCTTTACTCTCTATCATCATTTACGGATTTGCTTGTTTTATGAATATGTGTATACAAATATATCTATGTCTGTGCAGATTCTTAGTCACCCAGGTCATAGTAAACTGAAAAAACTTAGAAAAAATCAACTGGACTAGATTTCTAGGTAGAAGACGTTTCACCTCTCATCCAAGAGGCTTCATCAGGTCTGACTGACTGGTGTTGAGCCGAAGATATTTATCCCCCTCAGTGGTGTTTCAGTTCTTTGATGATGGTACACATAAATATGTGTATGCAAAAGTATATATTGTATTCCCTTAAATTTGGTAATTAAAGCTGCACTAATCAATATTTGTATATACACAGATTTTTTTTCTCTCAGGAGAAATTGATCAAAATTGCTTTATTTTTTTTTTTCTTATATTGTTACTTTATTATTATAATCATCCATTTTCTATCATACTGTCTTATTTACCCATTCATCTTTCTCATCTATCAAACCAGGAGCTGTATTAGGGGATGCTCCGCCCTGTCTCCAACAGCTGAGGCATGCAATTTGGGGTCACTCTGGGGGACACAGCATGTGGGAGGAAGGCCAGGTCACCGTTTCCTTTCCCTTAACTGTATGCAGCATTACTGGACTCCTGACACCCTCTTAGACAAGCTCCCTCCTCAGGGTGTGGCGCTGTCTAGGAGGGGAACACGCCACACACTGGGTCAGGGCTCTCCTGTCAAGGTCAGGGGCCAACCCTGAGCTGTTTCAGTCCCAAGAATCAACTGTAACATTTACCTCCCCCCAAAAGTCTTAATTTATTTGGTTTAGTTTTATTTTGTTTAATATGTACTGAATATCAGTCTGCATAGAGTTGGATACGCTACACAATTTCATACACACAACTTAATTGAATAATACCTTTGTCTCTTTGGTCTGTTTGTCTTATCTTCTATGTTATGTCCCTTTTTTAATTGCAAAATGAAATAACACATTTACAGGACAGTTACATAGTAACTATGCAGGTATTAACAAGGTAATTTACTGTATGTGTATGAATAATTAGCGAATAACCACATCAGCCAATATTTAACACATAAATGTGACTGATACAGATCAAATCCCTTAAATTTGGCATTTAAAGCTGCACTAATCAATATTTGTATACAAGCATCATATCAATTAATTCGCAGCCATGCCAGGCAACTGTTTTCAGCAGAAAGACCTCTAATAAACCCACTGCACTGCATGACAGTTTGGAAACATACTGTAGCATAGCATTTAGCAGCCAAAGAGCCAGATTTGTGTCTCTCAGGAGTTGCTGGCAACTAAGATGGAACTAAAGGGAGACTTGAACTGACTTAATTCATCAGGTGGCAAGAAAGATGACTCCTGCTTTAAAAAAATTGTAACTGACATATGACACCACTATATATGGTTTTGGCAAGATGGCGCCCTCCAATGCAGACGTGTTTGTGTGTTCCACTCTTGAATGCCGGCTTTTTCTTCGTTTTCCTCTTTTTTGTGTTTTTTACTCTTTCTGCAGTGCACAAATGTCATGCACTGCTAACATACAACAGACAGGCATTGCTGGACATCGCCAACTCAGACCGCCATGTGGAATTTACTGGTTTCATAACACCGGAGCTACAACTCATCATCGCGTGCTGCAACAACAACAACAACAACCACCATCACCCTCAGAGAGCCCCCGGAGCACCAGGCACAAGCAAGCAGGCTGAAATCAGGAGAGCAGCCCAGAGACAAAGACGCAAGCGGGGCAAGAGAGGAGGGCTCCATGCTAGGCTAAAAGCTCGCGCTACCCGACCACCACCACCCAGCCTCTTCCTAGCTAACGTACAATCTCTGGAAAACAAACTAGATGAGCTAAGAGCTAAGATTACAACACAACGGGAACTAAGAGAATGCTGTGCTCTAATTCTCACAGAGACTTGGCTTTCTGACAGAGTCCCAGATTCCGTGATTCAGCTAGAGACTCACTCTGTAAATCGGGGAGACCGCACTGCTGCTTCGGGGAAGGTAAAAGGAGGCGGTGTGTGTGTGTGTGTGTGTGTGTTTATCAATAACTCGTGGTGTGGAGATTACGGACTGTTTATAAGCACTATTTGCCAGAGGTGGAGTTTTTATTGCTGAAATACCGGCCCTATTATCTAGCAAGTGTTTCTGGCTGCTGTGTATGTTAGCCCAAGAGCTAATCCCGCGACGGCTCTCAGCAAACTCCACAACGTCATCAGCGTACTAGAGACAGCGCATCCCGATGCTGTAGTTATTGCTGCCGGCGACTTTAATCCGTGCAATCTACAGACTGTACTTCCCAAATATTACCAACATGTGAACATTCCCACCCAGGACAAGAACACTGGATCATGTTTACAGTAACATATGTTGTGCATACAGGGCTGCACCCCATCCCCACCTTGGACGCTCGGACCACATTTCTTTGTTCCTGTATCCAGCTTGAGATGATAGTGGACATGAGGAAGGAGAGGAGCTCTCATCAGCCACTGTTCATCCAGGGGCTCGAAGTGGAGAGGGTGAGCAGCTTTAAATACCTGGGTGTCCACATCAGTGAGGACCTCACTTGGACACTTAACACCACACAGCTGGTCAAGAAGGCCCAACGGAGGAGACTGAGGAGGTTATGTCGCCTAGGATCCTCAACAACTTCGCTGCATCGTCGAGAGCATCTTGACCAGCTGCATCACTGTCTGGCAGGGCAGGGCTACCCTGTCAGGACACACCC